TCCAAAGGCGGGCGAGTGGGTGCAGTCAAGGAGTGACCTGTGGGAGGGTTACGGCTGGGCGCTAACTCCGGCTTAGTCTACAAATGCCGCTGTGGGCCCTGGCTCCAGGATGAGAGAACCTCCAAATGTTGAAGTTATCTTGGGCTTCTATAAATACCTTTGGACCGTCGCCTTCTGTCCTCTTGACACTGCTTGCTCCCATCCACCACCCCCCAACATACACACCCTACCTATTTTCTCCCTTCCCTCCCTTGAAGGAAAAGGGGAACCCTTCCAGCGAATTCAACGTGACGAATCTGGTCCTCACCACCCTCAACCTGTTCTTTGCTGGAACGGAGACTGTCAGCTCCACCCTCAGATACGGCTTCCTCTTCCTGATGAAACACCCAGAAGTGGAAGGTATGGTGGTGGCCAGCCACGGGCGAGGGGCTGGACTTGATCCATTAAAAGAAAAAAAGCAGATTTGTTGCTAAAACCTTCAGCAAAGGTCACAATGGCCACCTCTATCTTGACCCCAATGCCTTTCCTGGTGATCGTAGGCATGAATTTTCTTCGTCCACAAGATAACTGGCGCATGCCTGAAGAGATGGATTTTAGTTCATGGAAGCTCACATTGATGTATTTTCCAAAGTAGTCTAATAAAGGCTTCACCTTCTCTTGCAGCAGTAAGCCAGAACGTATGCCTCTGGCTGACGTCCTCCGTGGGAGTCTGAAGGGGAAAGATTCTTGCTCATGCGTAGGCACTATATGAGAGCAAGAGCCCAGGAAATCGGGCTTGGTACACAACCTGCTCTCCCAATTGTCTTTAGCTGTAGGAAGAACCGAGCAGGCAGGGCTGGCCTCACCACGATGCCTCCGCAAGGCTTTCCTACATGGGAAATCGGGTCTCCTCGGTTTCTGTCCCACTCCCAGAGCTGAGCTCCTGGAGGCCGTTCTGTCCTCCAAGAAAGCCTCTCTCTCTCTCTCTCTCTCACCAGCTCCTCTCCAACACGACTTTTTCTTGGTGTCTCGGCAGAGAAAGTTCATCAGGAAATCGACCAGGTCATTGGCCGCAACCGCATCCCTGCCGTCACGGACCGGATGAGCATGCCCTACACCGACGCCGTCATCCATGAGATCCAGAGGCTGACGGACATCGTCCCTCTGGGAGTGCCCCACACCGTCATCCGGGACACTGAGTTTCGGGGGTACTTCCTGCCCAAGGTGAGGCGAGCGAGGAATGCAACTGGGACAGACAGAAGCCAACAAGTGGGAAAAGGCAATGGCTGTGCGGGGGGGGGGGGGAGAGAGAGAGAGAGAGAGGAGGGCTTTGGCTTTCCTCATCACCTCTCCATCAACTCCTTGGTTTGTCTGTTTTTTTTAAACTTCTGCAGGGCACCAACGTCTTCCCTTTACTCGGCTCTGTTTTACGGGACCCCAGGCATTTCAGCAGCCCAGAGGAATTCAACCCTGGGCACTTCCTGGACGAGGGAGGCCGTTTCAAGAAGAACGAGGCCTTTGTGCCCTTTTCCTCGGGTAAGGCTTCCTCCCCACCACCTCCCCTTTTCCTGCCCTGGAATCAGGCCATACGGACAGTGAGTTCATTCGGGGTGGGGGGGCAAAAGCCAGCGGCAGCAACTTTATTGTCAGGAAGGACTGCGGCCTGTGCGAGCAAAGGATGCCACCCAGGGCGGGTTGCTTTGAGAGACGGCGCCACGGATTGCCCGTTGGTTCAGCAATTCACCCTGGTAGATGGATGGAGTAGTGAGAGTAGAATCACAGAAGCATGGGAAGTGGGAAGGGTCCTCTGAGGTCATCAAGTCCAACCCCCTCTGCTGAGTGCAGGAATACCAATCGAAGCAGGTCTGCCAGGTGGTTGTCTAAGTTTCTCTTGAAGGCCTCTCCAGCGCTGGAGCCCTCACCACCTCCCTTTGAGGCCATGGGCTCCACCTCACCACCACCTCCCTTTGAGGCCATGGGCTCCATTGTCCTACTGCTCTATCAGTTAAGAGGTTTTTCCTGATACTCAGCCTAAATCTGGCTTTGTGTACAGTCAACCCTTGACTACATACGGACTTTTCAATTTACAAACAGCTCCTTTGGCAAAAATTGGCATCGACTTGCGAACGGACCTTGACCTACAAACGGGGTCGAGGCTCTGTTTGCAAGTCAATGCCATTTTTTTTGCCAATGGAGCCGTTCGTAAATGGCTCCCTGCAAAAAAGCAGGGGGAAGGGCTAGAAACTCGAATTTCCAGCCCTTTCTCCCTGCCTTTTTGCCTTTGGTCCGAAGCCGCCGATCACGGGCTTGCCTGCCACCATGGGAGACCTCCTGGGGGTACCCTGCGTTGCGATCAGCGGCTTTGGAGCTCTCAAAGGGCTTTCGCCCCCGACATTGGAGGAAGCCCTTTGAGACCTCCGAAACCAAAAAGGCAGGGAGAAAGGGCTGGAAATTTGAGTTTCTAGCCCTTCCCCCTGCTTTTTTGCCTTTTGAAATGCTGGAACGGATTCTGTTCCCATGCATTTCAATGGGAAATGGTACTTTGACTTACAAACTTTTCGACCTACGAACGTCGTTCCAATACGGATTAAGTTCATAAATCGAGGTACCACTAATCTTGAGCCCACTGTTGCGTGTCCTGCACTTTGGGATGATCAAGAACGGATCCTGCCCCTCCTCCGTGGGACAACCTTTCAAGTCTTTGAAAAGTACTCTCCTGTCTCCCTCCAGCCTCCTTTTCCCCAGGCTGAACACGTCCCACTCTTTCGGTAGCAACAGACGTAGCAGGGAGAGTTGCTGCTGTTGTGCTGGTTGTGTTAACAGTTACGGTTCTGGGTTTTTTCCTCTCCAGGGAAACGGGTCTGCCTGGGGGAGGCCCTGGCCCGCATGGAGCTCTTCCTGTATTTGACCACCGTCCTGCAAAGCTTCTCGCTGAAGCCGCTCTTGCCTCCAAAGGACATTGACGCCTCCCCCAGGATGAGTGGCTTTGGGAACATCCCACCCACCTACCAGCTGTGCTTGATACCTCGCTAATCTTGGCTGCTGCTTGGTGCGGGTCCCACCCCCAAGAAGATGGGCTGAGAAGAGATGGGGAGGGCAGGGCAGGAGGGGCAGCCTCTCCCCGTGCGAGCGCGCATGTGTCTAGTCATCCCTCTCGTAGTGGTGCATTTCCCCACTATGTTAGCCTGCTTTGGAGCCACAAGCCAAGTATATATGTAGACCCACAAGACACCCCCCCAAGGTGGTGTGATGTCTCTCTTTTGCACTGCCTAGCTGATGGGCTGGAAGAAATCCAGGGAAGCAGTGCTGATGCTCTCTCCCACCTGGACAAACCCAAGTGACCTACAAGAGGGGCCTGAATGCCAGGCCCCTGTTGTCCCCCTGGCATCCCCTAATGGGTATATCCACTCCAGTCCCCAAGCGCCTGGGCCCGGAAGGGACGCAGCAGAACCGGAGCCGACCCACCAAACACCTCCAGATGCCACATAAAGAGAACTGGGGCAAAGCAGGTTGTGGCCAAATCTAATAGTCCGACACACACACACACATCCCAGCCCCCTCCACACTCTTTGGGGAGTTGTCACCACGCAGGGAGCCCCAGGGCCCAAAGCCAACTCTCCTGGCTTTTAAGAAGGGAGTCATTATAGGTCTCATCCAACTGGGCTTTCTCCATGGGTCTTATGCAGATCGATTCCTTCGACAAAGTTAATATTCTGTTTATTGTGGCTTCAAAGTTGCTATTTTTCTAATTGCATAATCTCTGTGTCCTTTTTGATCTGTTTTAATGATGCCAGTCAGCTGCCTTGAGTGCAGTTTTTAGTAGAGATATAAATGTAAAAATCAAATGAACAGAGATAAATACCTTCAGCATTCTTTGCATTATCGCCCTCCCGGGTCTTTTGATGGGATCAGCCCAACGGGACTGTCATTTAATACAGGGAGCTCCAGCCTCTTTTACCTCGCGAGAGGCACAGACCTGAGGGCTCACATTCCTCCTGCCCCCCCCCCCCCCCCCCGTCGCCTTTCTCCAGTGGGTGGCCAGGTGTGGCAGTACTTCACAAAATGGAGGCCGGCCACCAGGAAGCCAGCCCTCCACACGCTCCTGCCCGGCCTTGCACGGAAGAGCTCTGGCAAAGGCCACAGCCAAATCCAGCTGCTGTGCGTCCTAGAGGCCCAAATCAACCTGGCAGGCTCCATTCCAAACCGAGGAACAGCAAGGACGAATGAACGCTGCCCCTATAAAGGGGGAACCCAAAACCGGACTGCAAAATTACAGTCGTTCTGGGAAGGGTTAGCACAGCAAGACTCAGTGGTGAAACCCCCAATGGAGGACTGTGCAATCAGCGGCCACACCCCGGGCAAAAATCCGGTTGCATCACTAGATGGCTATACCTTGAGGTTATGCCCGTGGCAGCAACGACAGTGCCAGGGCAGTAGTGCTGACCAGGTAGTGCTTCTGGCAGCGCATCACGCAACTAGGGTTATGCCCAGCAACGACAGTGCCAGGGCAGTAGTGCTGACCAGGTAGTGCTTCTGGCAGCGCATCACGCAACTAGCCATGCTGAGGACCCACAACCAAAACCAAGTCTTTCCGGAGGCGAGGCCTCGGTAGGCCCGTCATCAGCTGGACGGGACCAGAAGGCACAGAGCAAGCGCAAATTAACCTTCACTAACGAGCCAGAGCCTCCAGGCCCTTCCACGCCGTAACCTAACCGCCCCTCCCTCAGCCTCAGAGGTCCCAGTAAAAGCAGAGCCCTCAGCCCCACAGAGGCATGGAAAGGGCCCGGGAAGGGGTTGATCCCTCCCGTCAGGAGGCGCTGGCCTCCCCGGGAAAGGAAGCAGCGGCCCCTCCGCCTCTCACGGGACCGACGCTCTCTCCTCCCCTCCCAACTGGAATAAAGGCAGCAACACTTTTCTCTGCACATCCACCTTTGAAAAACAAAACACGTCACAACTTTTAATGAATAGCATATCTGAAACACAGTGAAACACAGCACCCCCAAATCAAGTATATTTACACGCAGGAGCAGGGAAACATTGAGAAGGGGCCAAACCGAAGAATCAAGGCAGGCAGGCAGGCAGGAGTCTGGCCGAGAAGAGAAGCCGGAACGGCAGGGCTGGGCAGGGCAGGGCGGTTGTCCACGGCTGCAGCCTCAGGGTTGGGTCTGTCCAAAAAACCGGGACCCCGAAGGCCAGGGAGCCAAGCTCCGGGTGCGGACACCGCCTAAGGACGCTCTGGGCCCACCAGCTGGAGGTGGGCAATGGCTTTGGGCTTCCGGAGCAGCCCCGGCACCTGCCCAGAGACACGACCCCCGCCCCCGGGAGCTTGGCCAGGAAGCTGCTGGCCGGCCTTCACACCTCTGCCCCACGAGCGGATCCCTCCTGCCCACATCAGCTCCACCGGCCACTCTGGGCAACCCGGCTGCCCCCTGCTGGAGGAATGCCCCCTTCC